TTTTTGTTCTATTGAAGGGACTTTAAGAACCTTTTTATTCACCCCTCTCTTGCTGCAAGGAAAAAGTGAAAGCAACAAATGGCATATAAACATAAGATTCAAAGTGAAAAAATCAACTATATTGCTTGGACTCTTCAAAAATACTGTTGGGTTCGTGTTTGAGGATCCAACGCGGGTGCTGCGGTATTTTTAAAGAGTGGGAGCAACATAGCAAATCAAAGACTAAACATCTACAAAATCAATCACATACTATTTTCTCCGTACGTTACGAAAATTTGCAGATAGAGAAACTAGTCTGGCAGAGATATTTCTACGCCAGTTACTTCGAAAAGTATAAGATTTGAATTGGCAAAAAACTTACAGGTCCCGCACGGTTTGATCAAATGCTTTCTTCATTTGGATATTGTATTCTTAGCCCCCAATTACTCAAGTGATATCTGTAGAAACAAAACAAAACCGATTATATCCACGTGCCCCTTTATCCTATTCCTATCACCGAACACATTCAATTAATTCACTTTCCAGCATAACACCAAGAACCAAATGAATCCTTCTATATTGGCATGATAAATCAATCAACCAACTACACCTCAATTTCAAATTACTCAAGGATCAACTATACAAAATGTTCTTTTTAGTTTACATTTATTTCCATAAATTAACAATCCCAACAATTTCAAAAATCCCATTTTGCGTAAAATCATAACCAAACCACTCAACAAGCATAAACCCAGAATTCCATTGACCTAAATATTCAGAATTAACAATCACAACAATTCCAAAAAAAATCCCATTTTGCGGAAAAACATACACAAAGCACTCAACAACCATAAACCCAGAATTTCAAAACAAAAAATAAACATAATTCAGGTGCCAACATAATTTCACACTTTCATTTCATAAACAATTCAAATCAGCGGGAACAAACATAATCTAAATTACACAAAAACTCACAAATGTGAGCTAAACCCATTTCAATAAATCAACTAAATAGCTCAATTTACAGATCTAAATCCAAATCACATCAAAAACATAGTAATTGATTACGGAAATTAACAAAATTGATCGAAAAATACCAAATGAAAAGATCTAATTGAATGAATATGAGATCGAACCTGATCAGATCTGAGATGTGAAGATGTAGAGAGAGAAGGGGAGAGATATACAGAGGAAAAATTTGAGAAACAGAGAGAGAGGAGCTGTCGATTGTTGAAGACAGAGAGAGAGAATGGAGAAAAGGAGGGTGTAAAGGAAGGAGCAAAGACAGCGCACCTTACACGCAGGAATATTACTACTATATATTCTCTCCGTCTCAATTTATCTGGCACGAATTCAGCACGTATCGAGTTTTAAAATTTAAATAAGATATTTTTTATCCTAATTTTTCTAGAAATTTTTTTATATCTTGAATTATTAATATGTAGTTTTCACATATATAAACTTTATTTCAAAAAAAATTAAAGATTTCATAATTGAATTTACAATTAAAATTAAACTGTTTCACTTTTGAAATTTGAACTATGCCGCGTAAATTGAAACGGAATATATTGAATATGGACCAAAAAGGAAATATATCTTATCCTATATTCGATACCCACATTAAAATCTGACTAAATTCAAATTTGTGTCTTGATTTGATTTCCTAACTTCTACTTATTTCTTCTTTTTTTCCTTTTTTGATGGTTTTCTTCCTCGTATTTTTGATATTGTATTTGTGAAACGGTTCGAACTTGTCACAGAAGATGATGCCCTAGTAAGGTGGAGTGAGTGATTGACGTTGAAGGGTATGAGTAAAAATAGAGGTATGTCCAAAAAAAAACATGGTGAAAAGATAATGAGGCGGTACACGATAAGCTTTCAGATTATTACGAATATAATATTAAATAAAAGGTTATGGAGGTCGAGAATTCTAAAAGAATACTAGTAATAAATAGTTTCAAACTTGTTTTTCCTATTGGCAGTAATAGTATTATTTCTGATTTGTTTATTGTTTAACTTGTACTTATTTCTTAATCTTACTTTTCTTTTATTACTTGAAGTCTCTTGCAGCTCCATTTTTTTATTTTCGTGTTATTGCTACTATTTATGTTTTTATAAATATTGTGTTTGTATTTTTTTTTAATTAAAGATTTATCGAAAATAAAGTTTCTAATTATTAATATAAAAATAAAATCTTTGTACACTCTATTGTTGTTACTTTTATGTTTTGTGAATAAGCTTAACCACTAACAATCCAATTAAGTTTATATTTGTTGTTTTGATTAAAGACAAAAGGAGTGAGACATGACTATTCTATTTTGGCAAGTTCAATTTTTTGAATTATATATCCTATATTTATGATGAAGAAAAAGTTTTTTTTTTGCACATTAATTGTGCTTTTTTATAGTCATTTACAAATATTAATACACAATTACTAATAATAAATATTAAATAGTATTTACATCTACTATAGTTTAATTCTATCCTTCTTTAACAACTCCCTAACGTAAATTAAGTCAATAACATTAATTGGGTTTAATAAATGGACTATTTAATTTGAAATATCTCAATGTAATAAGAAGTTATATACTTTTATATCAAACCTTTATGGATTTATTATAGTTAAATAATTTAATGAGACGAGAATGTATGTTAATTAACTATAGCTAAGTATTAAAAGATTGTTCGATATGCGCAATAAGATGGTATATCACAGAATTAAGTGACAAAGCATGCATGAGGTTTCCTTCAATCTGGTGGTCCCAACAAAAAAAACATTAGAGCTCGCGGCCTCAGTTGGCAAAATCAGGGTTGTTGCCCCGTTGTGAAGACAACTGAATGCTATTGTTATTTATTTCACTTGAGATAGGCCTTCTTACCACTGCTTCTGCCTATTACTATTCTTTTGTTGTGCTTCCTGGACAAAAGCTGGTTAGCCTTTTTTTTACTTACAACTCAAGTAATATTAGCTATTTGTGTAAAGCAACGATTCGTCAACCCACTAGCTTTTTTAGTTGCTTATTTTTTCAGTTTGTATACGTCAGTCGGTTGCCTATATGCAAGATCTTCATTCCTTTCACCGGAGGTAGCACTAGTCAAAGAGGGAGACTCTGTTCAAAGCGGTATGGTTCTAGTTTTTTAACTATAGCTTATCGCGAATCGCTTATACCCGTCCGTCCTGATAGTGAGCTAACCACAAAATCACAAAGAAAATAGATTCATAAGTTCGATACCTTGTATAAAACTCATGTGTGTAAGAAATATTCGATCAATTTCATATATTTAGTTGATAATATAAATTCTTGGAGATTTTACCTTAGTTTATTCCATCTAATTTGGAATTAATTTTATCCCGACTTTTCAGATGAACTAAATTTATCCATGAATTATAATTTCAAAACTGTAATTTTAAAACAATTTAGTCCAAAAACTAGATAATCTTTAAAATTTATATGCAAACACATATTATTTATTTAATGGAATGGTTTATTTAATTGACCTAATATAAATAGTAAATAAATAGAGGACATTGAAAAGCAAATGGAATATAGAATTAACTTAATTAGATGGTGGTGATTTATAAAAAAAGACAATAAAAAAGAAACTTAATATGGAAGGAAAAGTGATGTAAATGATGTCTATGTTATTCCTTTTTAAAAGCTCTATGTCCCTTATTTTAAAGTAACATATACTCTCGAATTTAGATTCAGTTCCATCTATTTTCAACGATTGATTTATTTAAAAATAATTTTAATTTAAAAAATTCCCACACTTTATAGTCATCTATATTATTGTCTATTGACATGATCTTCGACTCTAATTGGAACATGAAAACAAGTGGATATAAATTTAAAATCCAAATTGACATTAGATTAATATAACATTTTTTAATGTGTTTTTCATATATATAGTCTTTATGAGCAAAATAAAAAAAACTTGCAAGGGAAAACAAAGAGTAAGGATTGATGTGACTGGTGTTTGGTACATATGAAATTATTTTTTAATAATAAAATAAAATATTTTCATCTTTTTTCATGTTTAATCGAAAAATAAATTGGTTAAAAATTTAAACAATAATTTTCTTAATTAAAGTAGAAAACTAATTAATTACTTCCACCAACCCAGCCTACACCCCCACCCCCCATCCAGATTGAGTTGTCGGTGATTTTATTTCTTTTTTTGGGGGGGATTTGGCTTCATGTTTTTGGATTTTATTGTTGTAATGTCGCTGTCGCTAAACTTTGGGTTCAATGACAATATATTCAGTGTAATTCTATAAGTGAAGTATGAACTATATAGGGAAAATATCAACGAAAAAAAGAAGTGTTACATCTAAAAAGAATAAAAGAATATTAAATTTCACAATAATAATAACATAGTCAGTGTAATCCGCACTCTAATTATTATTTTTATTAATTTTTTCTAAGTTTAAAGATCTTGTAACTCAATTGGGGTAATTGTAAAAATGCAAAATTTAAATTATTTCATCCTCCCACAATGTTGGAAAGAATTAAATAAATTGAACTAGAAAAAAAAAAGTTCGAATCTCTACACATTCGAGAATCTTGATTTTGTAATATTCTTGATTTATATTGATTTGGTACGAGAAAAAGTAATTTTGTCGTAAAACTTCATATTATTAATAAAAATTTAAATTATACATGCTGACGATATATAGTTTTTCTTAATACTATTTATATAGCTTAATTAGTTATAACAAGTTCTTGCTCTATTTATCATGTTACCTAAATTGATGGAAAGCTGTTGCACGTCAATTTTATCTTATGTTGACACCACTCTTTATGCATATTCTACATCCAAAGCTTGCAAGGATGTTAGGCTTCGAATGCTTTTAGGACTGAGAAATTGAAAAGATAGGACGAAATAGTCTACCTTGAATATAGAATCAATTACTAGAACGAGTTCTTTTAAGTTTCTATGATACAATTAAGAGATTCTCTAGAAGAAATACGAATTTTGCACTACTTTTGAGGAAAGTTGAGATTAAGTTTTAGTCAACATCACCAAATGAATGGCAAAAATTCTCCATAGTAAAGCATTAAAAGGAAAAACTCCTTTGCTATATTAAAGAAATCAATGTCTTCTTCTTCTTCTCTTTGAACTTGCAAGCTCTTGTGATGATGATGACTTTTGAGCAAATTGAGATAAGTTCCTAAGTCATGTACACATGAAGGATTTTGCATGTTGAAGAAATCTAACAAGATTTCAACTCCAACATGAGCATAACATGAACAACTCCAGGGTACCTCGTATCTCCCACCAAAAACCCTAAAGTTTTCGTTCAGAAGAACTCCAGGAAGTTTTGTGATAGGGTCATTCACGTTGACGATTCTCAATACTTTTACACCTAACTCTTCACATCTTTCCTTAAACCCCGAGTTACCAACTCTAGGACCTCCAAAAGAAAATACTGTAACTGATATGTTGTTACTTTCTGACTCTGATACTGACTTTGATACTGATGATTCATATAATTGATCACATTTTGTTGTGGTTGCATTTTTGTTCAACCCTAACTCCGCGATGTCATAGGCTAGCAAAAGGGCCAATGCACTCCCCATGCTATGTCCACCAATAGTTATACTCATTTCTTCGTTTTTATACATATTTATTAGTCTCCCTATCTCAGAGAGTAATTGTTCGCGACAACTTCTTAGGCCAAACCTTTCACCCTCATTCGAGGTATACAAACTCAAAAATCCAGCTTCAACCTTAACCTCAGGCCTGAGATTACTAGGATCAAGACGGGCAGGAGATAATGTGCTCATCAAATTTGCTATCCATTCAGGATTAGTAACCGTTCCTCGAAATGTGATGAGCACATCTCTCCTGCCCAATCTCTTAGTTTCTTCATCACTTGAAATTGCAACATAACCAATCCATCTTCCACTAGATGATGATGAAGAATTTTGACCAATTGATAAAACATTGATGTTTGTAGTGGCATAAATGTACTTTGTTATTTGATAGCCTGATTTACCTAACCCAACTTCAATCAACATACTATTTTTTCCATACTTACAATTCAAGTATCTTTTTGAATTTGGATCAAGATCAAATGCATTGTAACATGCAACAACAAATTCACCATACCTAATAATCTCCTCTTGTAGAAGTGTATCCAATGGATTCACTAAATTTTCCCAATTTCTTGATCCTTGAATTTCTCTCCACATGGTAGCCAATTTATTATTAGTAGTAGTATTAATCATATTACTACTAATATTGCTATGACTAAATGTAGGCATAGTAGAAGCCAATAGTATCAATCTTGATGTTGCTAATTTCACCTCATTTCCTTTGACCAAACATGACTTAGGTAGAAACTCACTTGAAAATGTAGATATTTTCATATTTGGATTTGGTAACATGAAAAATAGTTGAGAGTTTCGAATACCAGATGATTAAAGATATTTAAAGAAACGAAGCGAAAGAGTAAGAGAGAAATTGAGAGAGGTGTATATGGATTTTCTTGATTCATATTGGTGTGTATATGTGTATATATATTTGAGATGTGTGTGATGCCACGGCCGGTGTGGATAAGCTAAAGGGGGGGTGGGGGAATAAAGGCATGTTTGGCTTGGAATTTTGACTGGAAAATAATGAGAATTCTAATTTCTATAGTATATGATAATTAAATTAAAGTGGTCGGTTAGCTTTAAGTATAGTTACTAATTTATTTGTTTTATTTCAAATGAATTTATTTTTAAAGTGTATTTACGAAGTCAAAATAATTAAGATGTATTGGAAAAATGAAGTAGTAATTACTTTTGTTAAAATAAGATTTTTACTTCATCTCTTAAGACCTTTACATCCAAATGTCTCCTTGCATGTAAGAATTTGGACAAATGGCAAAACCACTTGTCATGATACCATTTTCTTCTACCACTATAAATCCTCTCATTTTTTCTTTTAGGAAATTGTGAAAAGACCAACTTTCTGCAGGATCTCACCTTTTCATGATTTCTTTTCTTATGGTTATTTAAGTAGTTATTTTGGCTTTATTATCCCATGTTTTCACTAATAACTTGATGATAATTAATTTGTTGATTCATGTATCCTCTATTTAAGATAGGGGAATAATTGTTTAATCCTGAGAAAACATTTCACGAAATAATTTTTTTAAGACAGTGTCCAGCATGACTAGTCACTTCTAAACTTTCTTAGCACTTTTTCCACTTCAATCACAAATCTTGAAAAAGATGATGGATGGAATGGGAGAGGGGGAGAAGACAATGTGGGTGGGGAAGGGGTTGGGGTTAGGGTGGGTAGAGGTGGAGAAGACGTTGGGTGGGTGGGGGAAGAGCGGAGAAGATGATCTGGGTGAAGTTGGGTTATTTTATTCCACATGTCATTTAGTCATTGGTCACTTCTTTTTTCTACTAAAAATTATAATTTAATAATTATTTTTAATATATATGTCACGTATTTTTATTTAATTTACCACTTTGACACGTCATCGGTGAATGTGTTACACACAACTTGCATATTTGATTGATTGTTTAAAAAAATGTAAAAATGACACAGCGGGACATGACATGAGGCGTTTAAAATAAACAAAGCTTAGTTAAGATGTCTAAGTGAAAATTCATGCCAATTTTAGGAGGCTATCGATAGATTTGTCTCATTAATCTTTATAGATAGGAGGATCACAATGGACCAGAACATAGGCAGGGCAGGACAAAAACTTAACGGAGTGAGATAGAGCAAACAATTATAATGCATAAATATAAGAGAAAATACTTGAAAAGGGACAGTTAAAATTTTAGTTGATCAAGCTATTTTGTATATGATGATTACGGGTGTATACATTTCGAGATTGCACTAGATCAAAATTACACATCATTAATTTTATATACTAATGGATCCTTCCTAATAACAACCAATACAATTTCATTTCATCTTTTTTTCAACAACATTTTTTGCAATTAAAAAAGTGATAAATGTTTTTAAGAAGGGATCAACAAACAAGTGCTATTATACTTTTGGTGGGTGGGGCAGAGAAGATGATCTGGGTCGGGTTGTGCTATTTTATTTTTCTATTTTTTTGTATAAAAATTCCACATGTCATTTAGTCATTGGCTACTTCTTCTTTCTACTAAAATATCATTTAAAAAAAATATATTTTTAATATACATACCACGTGTTTTTATTTAATTTTCCACTTTGACACGTTCTCGACGAGTTTGTTACACATACCTTATATATTTGACTGATTGTTAAAAAAGTATTAAAATGACACAGTGTAATATGACATGAGATGTCTAAAATGAACAAAACTTGGTTAAGATGTCTAAGTGAAAATTAGTACCAATTTTAGAAGGCCACCGAACAACTAAGTTAGGCCTATATATTTATGCAACATATATACACATAAGAACTTTCTAGTTAGTAGGTAAGTTATCGCAGAGTCGTCTTGTTGGCAATTACATACTATAAATACAACTTGTTACCAATAAATGATGATCACAGTCATATGAATAAAAGTAGGTCATATTATTAAATTGTAAAGTGTTGTAAATGGATTAATGAATGTCCATTATATCTTTTTTATGCCTATAAAAGGCATTGTAATTTGTATGGAAAAGCACACAAAAATAAGGAAGACAAAAGTTTTTATCTCTCTACTACATTCTTCTCTTCTTTGTTGTTATTAGTTTAATTTTAGTACTTAGTCTTTATTTTATAACACATTATCAACACAACACTCTGTCATCAAAGGTTGTAGACTAAATTTGAAGGCTAAGGTACTATTATTTTTCTTCTTTTTATTATGGCTAATCTTACCAAACTTGAGTTTGCTGCCCTTCATAGTTCGGGCAAGAACTACCTTTCATGGGTATTGGATGTTGAAATTCATTTGGATGCAATGGGTCTTGGTGACACCATTAAAATTGAAAATAAAGCATTAAAACAAGACTGCGCTAAAGCAATGATATTTTTATGTCATCATATTGACGAAATTTTGAAAATTGCATATATCACAGTCAAGGATCCACTCATTCTATGGAATAATCTAAAAGAAACCATTTGAAGATGGTCATTCATTCAAATGCACGATATGATTGGATGCATTTAAGGCTACAAGACTTTAAGTCTATTCATGAGTACAATTCTACCATGTTCAGAATTATTTCTCAATTGAAACTATGTGAAGATACGGTTAGTGATGTTGATATGATGAAAAAAACATTCTCCACATTTCATGCCTGGAATGTGCTTTAACAACAACAATATCGAGAAAAGGGTTTCAAGAAGTATTCTGAACTGATTTCTCATCTTCTCGTGGCTGAACAAAATAATGATTTGTTAATGAAAAGTCTCAAGAATCGTCTTACTGGATCTACACCATTCCCTGAAGTGAATGAGGTGTACGCCCACCACGCTAGGCGTGGACATGGTTGTGGTCGTAATTATGACCAAGAGTGAAATCCTTTTCCCGATGTTAATCATTCACCAAAGAAAAATCACTATCAAAAGGGAAAATAAAAAGATGAGAACGTGAAACAGTTAAAACAAACTGTTTTCGATGTGGTGGAAGAGGTCACTATGCATGTGATTGTCGTCCTCCTAAGCACTTGGTTGAGCTTTATCAAGCATCACTAAGAAAGAAGGATAAAAATACTGAAACTAATTTTATCACTGATCATGTTGACATCACACACTTGGATGTAGCAGATTTCTTCACACACCCTGAAGGAAAAATAGATCACTTGATTGGTGACGGTTCTGTGGATATGGAAGAATAATCATGGTTGATATTTGCTAATTTGTTGTTTTGCATTGGTCATAATGTGGGAAATAAATAGTTAAAGTGCTCATGTTTATCCATGCATATTCATTACGTCCCTTCTTTTTAAAACATTTATGGAAATGTGATTTGGAATTTTATAATGATTCGAAGATAAATTGAAATATATTAAGATAATATTTTATGCTTATCATTTTGTGACTATAAAAGGAAACATATAGTGTTATATTTAAAGTGAAAGTAAATGGACTATCTAAGCACACTATCTAAATAAAGTAAGTGGAAAAACAATTTTTTCTTTTGTCATGTCCTTTCAAGAAATTAAACAATTATATTAATACTTATTTTAGACATGCTAAGCTAAACTAAAGTTTAGTGTTTAAGGTTTGGATGATAAAGATCTTGTGAATTATTAGTATATGATCATTATAATGATTCAAATGTCATTTTAACACTTCCGATTATATCTTATATTTTATAAATTATTTAATAAAAGATAATTAATGATTTAATATAAATTTATTTCATTGCTTTTGAAGATATGGATAATTCTCGAAGCAAATTATCAAATTATGAAGACATTTGCTTGATTTATTCTGGTACAACACATACGATATTCAAAAATGAGAAATATTTTTCTTATTTAAGTATGGGCAATATGAATGTTACTACGATATCTAGTAGTGTGAATTTGATCAAGGGCTTCGGAAGAGGCATTATAATTTTCCCTAAGGGAACTAAACTCATAATAAATAATGCTAAGTTTTCTCCTCAGTCTCGGAGAAACTTATTGAGTTTCAAAGATATTCATGAAAATGGTTATCATATCAATACAATTGATGAAATGAATCTTGAATATCTTGGTATAACCAAAAATGTCTCTGGGCAGACATATGTTATAGAAAAATTCACAACCTTATCTTCTAGATTGTATTGGACAAAAATTAGTGCAATTGAGGCACATTCTATAGTAAACCAGGGGTTTACTAATTTCAATACCTTCGTACTTTGGCATGATCGTCTGGGACATCCTGGGTCTATAATAATGAGATGAATTATAGAAAATTCAAATGGCATCCATTAAAGAATTTGAAAATTCTTTTAAATGGTGAATTTTCTTCTAATGCATGTTATCAAGATAAGTTAATTGTGAGACCATCACCAACAAAGGTCAAAATTGAGTCCCCTGCGTTCTTGGAACATATACATGGGGGCATTGTGGACCTATTCACCCACCAAGTGGGCCATTTAGATATTTTGTGGTCCTGGTAGATGCTTCTTCTAAATGGCCTCATGTGTGCCTATTGTCATCTCGCAATTTGGCATTTACAAAATTATTGGCGCAAATAATACGATTACGGGCACAGTTTCTTGATAATCAGATTAAGTCTATTCGCCTTGATAACGCTGCAGAGTTTTCATCCCAGACATTGAATGATTATTGTCTATCTATTGGGATAAGTGTTGAACATCATGTAGCTCATGTTCACACTCAAA